TATAGATTAGGGCCAAATAAATTTGGCCCACGCAGAGGCCCACCAAATTTATAGCCCATCATAGGGCGAGCTTAACGTATGGGGTGAGACGGCTTGTATTGACACCCCTAATATTACATGGAATGGTTGAGATCCTTTGAAGTCATTAATGGAGGTTTGTCTTGATGAAGAAGATGGAGTGAAGATGAAGCAAAAATGAGAGACAAAAGCTACTAATGATAGTTCAAGAAAGTGTGTGTAGTTACGATATATTTACTCTCTATAATAATTTTTATATTCAAAAAATATTTTAATATATAATAGTACTAATTAATTTAAAGTCAAACTAGTGCGGAATCTTATATAAGGAAAAGCTTTCAATATCTATTACTCTAATGCTCTCACTTAATTAATTTATACCTATTTTTTTAGAAATTAATTTATACCTTATTTAAATTAATCCCTTCCACTCAAATTGAAGATCATTGGAACCGTTATTAATATTGGGATATTCACTCATTCCCTAATATAGAGTTGCATAGTAAGAATGAATATTCAATTGTAGTTGTAAATTAACAATGATTATCCTCAGAATCCAAGCTTAGTTACGTTGTTAATTAATAATTATTATCCTCACAATCCAAGGTAAGAATAGGACATTCTTTCCTCATTGTAAACACCGTCTTTCTTGTCCCATCCCCACTTCCCAATTCATAAAGCTCTCTCAAAAATGTCACCTTGTAGCTAATGAAATTGCACCATTCATCATCTTATACTTGGAAAGAAAAATTGGCTATGATGATGAATGGTACCAGTGATCATACCCAACCCAAAAACGGCGGCTCTCGGAGGACCGCCGCCGCTGTGGCCGCTAACGGCGGCGGAAAGCGTCGTGGATGGTGTAGAGGACTAACTGACTGCATCATTTTGGGGCCCACCAATGGTTCACGATACCACTCAACTGCTCCTACAAACACCACTCATCGTCAACAGGTACTTATGTGACATATAAGTAGTGATATAACTGCTCTCAAACCATTTATTGTAGGTCGAGTTTATTATTTCACTCCATTCTTATAAGGGCAATCTCAATAAATATTTTTGGAGGTTTTTTTCATGTTGGGGGAGAAGGTAAATTATACCATGGAACAGGGTCTACCTTGCATTGTAGATCATGGTTTCTAGTTGACACATTATGTACCTGCAGTTGATAGTTTCTGTACCTGTAGCTATCATATTATGTGTAAGCAATTATCAAGTCAGATTTTGTATCTATAGTTGACATATTATGTAATGTAGCTATCATATTATGTGTCAGCAATTATCAAAGTTATTTGTTTACATGTACAAAAACGGTTATGTGTTAACTGAAGGTATATAATTTGTGTATCAGAGTTCACAAGACAATATGAACCCTGGTCTCTAAGTATAACAATGGCAAATTATTCTGTGGACTTGGGTTCAAAAATACATAATTTATATACTGAACGTTCACAATTTTTATATACTAAATGTTCACAATTTACATATTAAATGTTTCACAATTTTAATTACTAAATGTTCAATTTACATATTGAATGTTCGCAATTTACATATTGAATGTTCACAATTTTATTTACTAAATGTTCAATTTACATATTGAATGTTCACGATTTGAATTGTAAATATTTAGTATGTAAATTGTGAATATTCAGTATATAAATTGTGTATTTTAAGGTGGACCCGGTCCATGGCATAACTGTACTATAACAATTGGTGGAAGGAAGAGAAAAAAGTTAGATAGTGGATTGGAGGCCCAAAATACGCAGGTCCTTGGGCCGAGGATATCCCTAAAATAGATAACATTATAATTTGACATAATTTGATCAAGATGTTGTGTAATAATAGAAATAGAATATTGTAATTTATGTTTTTGATATTGATAAAATTGTGAAGGTGGCAGAAATGGAGAAGGAAGTAGAGAGGCAAAAGGAGCTAAAGGGAATGTACAAAATGAGGCTGGAAAGAACACAGAATTATTTAAGGTATTGTCTCCAAGTGGCCCAAGAAAATGGTTTCTTGGACTTCATCATCAACAACAAACAAAAACCTCAGCAAGAAGAAGTTGCATTATCATCCTCAAGTACTACTCTATGTAATGGGAGTATGAGTCCTCTGATTAGTACACCTCCCAGACCGCAACCGCTCTACCATTCAAATCTTGAAGCCCTCATTCATCAAGCCAAGCTTAATGGATGGTACATTGAGCCCCATGAGGTTTGTTCATTTATAGTATAACCGGCCCCTACACAAATTGCATTTATACAACCAAGTACTTGCTATTTATTATTGTTTGCACTTCATTGTTGTTCATTTATAGTTTACCCGGCCCCTACACAAACTGCATTTATCCAACCAATTACTTGCTATTTATTATTGTTTGCACTTTATTGAGCATGACTACTCTTCCACACAAAAGGCAATAAATTCCCTTGCCCTCATGCCCCACACCCCAGCACATTAAGATAGTGGATGAGTATATCACGGGCGGTGACTCTCACATGCGCCTAGTGCTGGATTTGATCATTCACCGGCCTCCACCAACATGGTGCTGGGCTTGGCCCTACTTGAACTTGCAATTCTGCCCCTGCCACCTGGTGTAGTTGGACTTGGCTCTACTCGAACTAGTGACATAACTCGGATATCACTTGTTAGGATTAATAAGCACTTACCACTAAGTCAAAAGTTATAACTTGTAGTAAATGGTGCAATTTTATTTCCTTATATCGTCATATTTTCGAGAGGCAAGGTGTTGAACTTGACCTTTCAGATTTCTGTCACATTTTTCAGAGATAAGGTGTTGACTTAGCTCTTCAATTCCCATCCAATAATCTTTTAGTCATTTAGTGCTAGACTTACCCTTTCGCTGGTTTCCTCCCCATAGTAACCGATTGAGCTGCCCATGTGAACAGAATGACTACTCCTTAGTCCTACTCCATTGATGTGCTACTATACAATCCATTTTAATAACAAGTGTGTTTTTTAATCTTATAGGTACCCAATCATATAGCATTGCTACCTAGTAAGCTATTCGACTGTCATATATATTTACCTGCAGCTTATTGTGTATTGAAAACAGATAGAACTGCAAGAACTGGTAGCGCAAGGAACCACGGCGGACATATACAAAGCAAGGTGGCGCGGCCTCGACGTCGCCGTGAAATGCATATACCCAGATTTCTTCCACTCCAACGACAACGGCGTCGGCTTCTTCGCGCAAGAAGTGGAAACCCTTTCCCGGCAACGCCACCGCTTCGTGCTAAGCCTGATGGGGGCGTGCCTGGAGCCGCCGGAGCACGGGTGGATAGTGACGGAGTTTCTGGGCACCACATTGAAAGATTGGCTCCACGGCCCGGGCAAGAGGAGAAGAGAGAGAAGTGTTCCTCTTCCCCCCATTGCAGAGAGGTTGGCTAAGGCCGTTGAGATCTCGCAGGCGATGCAGTATCTCCATGCCCAGAGGCCATTGAAGGTGGTTCATAGAGACTTGAAGCCTAGCAACATTTTTCTTGATGATGCATTTCATGTTAGAGTTGCAGATTTTGGGCATGCTAGGTTCCTAAGCTACCAGGAAAAGGCTCTAACCGGAGAAACAGGTAATTATTTTTTAACTTAATGGTTCGATCAGTAGGCAGTATTTGGTAAAAGAAGAAGGTAATTGTTTAAAAGCATAATTATACATTTATTATAATTTCATAAGTAACTCTTTAATCTCATATATTATATTTTGATTTAAAAGTATTACATTTTTATAAAAATATCACATTTTTCTTCATAACTATTACACTTTCTCTCATAAAAAACAATCAGTCAATCAATCAATTTATCAGGATTAATATTACATTTTTTCTCATAACTAAATGTTCACCTTTAAATATTATATTTTAATTTAAAAGTATTACACTTTCTGTTATAAGTAATAATCAATTTATTCCTGATTATAAGTATTATATTTTTCATCTTCATCAATGCAACCCGTCTCACGAATAAGCTAAGGATTCATGAGACATGAGACTCACCCTTAATTATGAGATGATATTATATGCATCAAGTTTATTTAATTAATTTATATTAAAATTGACTTAGATAACCAATTAACAAAAAATATATTATACTTTTTATGTGTTTATAGAAAAGTATTACATTTTTTTAAAAAAATTACATGTTTGATTTCACACCAGACATGCTTTTTTTTTTTCCTCTTTTTTTTTTTTAAATATAAAAATAAAAAAATAATTATTCCATAAATTTGATTTTTTTTTTTTCATTCACTAAATATGTAATTACTTTTTGGTGTATGGAAATACTTGTTAGATATTTTTAAGTTTGATTGACACAATCAATTCAATCATGTGGGATTATTAGTCAAATATATAATATTAAAAAAATATACTTGAAAGAAAGAAAAAAAAAAAAAAATTAGTTCGGTTACATCATATAGCTAGATTGCATATTAGTTTGGTTATATTAATTTGGACTAACCAATAAGTTCTAAATCAGTCATATCTTTGAAACTTAGCTTGGATCTATCATGATTAAAATTAGAATTTTGGTGTTATTCCTCAGCCAACACCATAATGGTATTTCAGTACTGTTCATACGCTATTGGCCTCCATTGAGGTTTTATTAATTAATGGAGTAGACTAACTTTAATTTAATATTGTTTTTTCAAAATTTTAATAATTTAATTTGGATCATTTCTTTCCAACTTTAATTATCGGGAGACTATTACTCTCGGCAAATTATTGGTCCACCCAATATTATGTGGACCATAATAAAAAATATATTTTTAATAGAGTTCATATACAAAATGGTTATCCGACTATTAGCTAATACTTGATTTTGTCCTGAAGAATTAAACTTACTCAATTTAGTCCTCTTAGTTTTTAAACGATACCCAATGTGGTCGTTTATCCATCGTTATTTTGAGGACAAAGAAGTCAATTTACTTAAGAAAACGTCATTTTGTCCCAATTTTGTATCTGTCGTTGTTCATTAAGAAAACGTGGAGGAGGTCCATGATGTTTTGTACCTGCGTCGAAAACAACGATGTTGGTTTGGTGGTGGTGTTTGAACTTTCGGGATTTGCGTGTTTGTGGAATATCTGCTCGAGGGTGGTTTTGAAGTCGAAATTGTATTTTAGGTAGTTGATGATGTAACGCGTGAGCAAGTGAACAGCGCCGCCGAGGACCGGATTTCTCGCGGCGATGTCGTTTTTGATTGAGTTTTCAAGGTCGCAGAAAATGTTCAACGAGGCTTCCGCGATTCGGTCTTCGACTGCGAGAATCTCGGACTTGATCTCGTGCTCGGAGTCGTCGAAGCAACCGTCGTCGCTGATCGCCGGGATTAGGTCCCGGATTGTTTCGTACATGTGGAGGAATTTGAAGAGCTTCTCGGCGGCGCGTTTGGTCTTGGCGACGGCGTCGGCGAAGTCGAGAAGCTGAATGACGACGGCGCGTGCTAGGTTGCTGAAGAGGCTCCGAGAAATCATGGGATGACCGGAGAAGACTGCATCGCCAAGCTCCCTTTCCGCCGGGAAGAGAATTTTGGACAACGACAAAGAAGTTAATTTACCCAACGTTTTCTTAATATACTAAAATGACGTTTATGCCCTTCAAAATAACAGTGGATAGATGACAATTCTAACGGAGGACCACATTGGGTACTAAAATTAAGAGGACTAAATTGAGTATGTTTAATTTTTTGGGACAAAATCGAGTATTAGCTAATAGTCGGAAGACAATTTTGGGTATTAACTTTTTGAGTACATTATACAAAATAATGCATTTTTAGTTTTTTTTTTTTTTTTTTAAATATAATGTATATTTTTAATATATTAAAAGTATATTATTTGATAACATAGTTCACATAGCTATATGGACCTTGGTTTACAAAATAATGATTGATCACTGACTAATTACTTTGTTATCAAACTGATTAAAATAATGATTCTTCTGTTAGAGTTAATAATATGGGTGTTGCTATTTGCACCACCCATTAACTAAAATGAGGTATAAAGCACTTTGAAAATGTAAAAAGTAGTAAATATGGGTGGTGCAAATAGCCTAATGGGTGGTCAAAATGCTATTTGCACCACCCTATTAAATTTACAATTATGAGGTCAAAATGTAATTTAAAAAAAAAAAAAAAAAAAAAAAAAAAAAAACGGAGCAGCCATCGCCTTCTCCGGTGAGAAGGCGACGGACTGCCTTCTCACCGGAGAAGGCAACTGGGCTGCCTTCTCCGGCGAGAAGGCGACCCACACAGTGGGCTGCCTTCTCGCCGGAGAAGGCAGCCCAGTTGCCTTCTCCGGTGAGAAGGCAGTCCTTCTCACCGGAGAAGGCGATCATTTTATTTTTTTTATTTTTTATTTTTAATGTTTATTGTTAAAAAATAATAAATAATAAATATTACCACCTACTTTGACTACATTTATTTGCACCACCTACTTTGGTATTTGCACCATCTATTTGACCTATTAAATAGATGGGTGCAAATAGTAAATAGGGTGGTGCAAATAGAACTTCCCTATATATATTACTTGTATCGAATTTTGTGTCATTTATTATGAATTAATTTATAGTAGAGTCAGTTAAGATGAAGAAGTAAATATTTATGGTGAAAATTTTTAATGCAATAAAATTTTCATTATGAATTTCTAGGTAAGAATTTTATTATTATTATTATTTTAATATTTGAAGTCTTGTTCTTTGTAGGAACTTATGTTTATATGGCTCCTGAAGTAATTCGCTCAGAGCCTTATGATGAAAAAAGTGATGTGTATAGCTTCGGCATCATACTCAACGAGCTTATTACCGGTGAACATCCATATATTGAAACCGAGTATGGTCCTTCAAAGGTATGCCCTTTCTATTTCAAACAATTGTCCTCGAGTCCCCTTTCTAGCTTTTCCGAAGATCACATATAATTTTTATTTTTATTTTTTAAATTTTATGACTTAAGTTTCAAATTATATATATATATGATGTTTCATATTCAATTTTGTTGCCTCTTAGATAGCCATAGAAGTTGCAGAGAATGGATTGAGGCCAGCACTTCCAGAAGAGCATGATGATGATGTCCAAACAAAAGAGATAATTGAGGTGATACAACATTCATGGGATGAAGATTCTGCCATGAGACCATCTTTTGCAACACTAACATGTGCCCTCATAAACATCCACAAAGCACTACTCACCCATGATGATGCTTTATAGCAGTGTTGCAAAAATCGTGCCTAGACACTAGGCGGTCGCCCTCCTAGAAACCCGCCTAGGCGTTCTAGGCGCTCTAGGTGCTTTAGGCGTCTTAGGCGGTCCCCAGGCGCCTAACGATTTTTTCAACATTACTTTATACTTTTATAGTATGTAGTAAATTTTCAGAAATTTAATATATTACCAATTTACCAACATGTACTGTAGTCGAATATACCAATTTATTGCCATAAACGGCCTTCGATTTTATTATACAAATTTGAACTCCAAATTTAAGGGTGTCTCACCATTCCTTCTTCTCCCAAAAGGTTGAATCCCCAACTCTAAAGGTCCTCCGGCCGCCAGAACATTTGGGAGGATGTAAATCACGATGATTTAATGGCTCAACAAATTGGGCCAAATGTCGGTACACTTTGAGCATAATCCCTACACTGCTGCCACCAAAGTTTGAAACTTGTCTATTTTCTCAAATACTACCTATTGAATCATTGAGTTAAATCCATGCGCGTATGTCTCATCATTCCTGTCATGGATAATTGGAGATTAGTGGATTTTGAAGGAGGTAAATTCTTAAAATTTTTATTTTGTTTTGGTACAACGTACAGCTCATGCGTGTTTCATATGGGGATTGTGGAACTTATAAGTTATATATATAATAGGAAATTTCTATAATGTTTTTATCATATTCGAAAAAGGAAAACAATTCTTGTTTAAAATTATTGTACCTTTCTTTCTATAATGTTTTATGGTACGATGGGAATTAGAGGTTCAATTATGCTATAGTTTATGCCATGGAGCTTGTTGAAGGAACTACCAAAAATCAAAGAATTGAAGATGACCATGGTTGGAAACAAAATGTAATCATGCCAATGCATCAATAAGTAACTTATCTGATAATTATTTTTATTTTGCTAATTGTCTTGATTGCATAATTTTAGAGTGTAAATATCTAATTACACCCTGTTCAAATGTGATAATCTAATTAATTGCATTTTTACTTCCAATTCCTTATGATACTACAATTTCAAGCCATAAAATGTACTTTTATCATTAGTTTTTTTTTTTTTTGAATTTTTGTGGGCTCCATATTTAGAGAGAAATACGCACAGAACGCTTGTCTTGAACACTTCTATAACTGCACGCGCCATGCTGTGCGCGTGATTTTTGTTTTTTCTTTTTTAATTATTTTTTAAAGCTTTTGTTTATATATATATATATATATATATATATATATATATATATATATATATATATGCTTTTTTTTTCTTCTTTTTTCCTCTTCCCTCCTCTTTCTCTCTTACTTGGACCTCAAAAAGTAAGAAAAATTATAGACTAATAGGGAACACAGTAATGACATCATTGAAAGTAAGCAGCGTGATGCACGATGCAATAGGAGGCCTCAAAGTAGTTGCCCATCTCTTTTTTTTTTTTTTTTTCTTCTAATAATGAAGTGAATATCACTTTATGGATCATATGGGGCATGCACTGCACAAATAATGAATAAGATATTTCTTATTTTAATTATTGAGCTTATGCCCACACTGACTCACCCCATAATATTCCATGACAAGATATTGTACTCATCCAAAATTATCCTATTATTACTGCGTCTGCAGCCTACACTCTCTTTTTTATTTTTTTTTAAATGCTACTAGCTCTATTACATTGTAGTATCTGTTCATATACTTTCTCAACCTACTGAAACACAAAGAGCTAATAACGCCTCCACTGAGGCTCGAACTTACAACCTTCCAAATGGAAATCCAACTTGGGTACCATTGGACCACATAGTCCTGGTAATTGCAGCCTACACTCTCTAATTACTCCATAAATTCAGTTAATTACACCCAAATATTTTATATAAAAATTTGTCTCATTTCATATATCTTCATTTATAAATTATAATTAACTTTATATTTTTCTACAGTAATGCTACCACTTCTCAAAATGTGTCTCATTTGATATATCTTTATTTTAAAGCTCGTTTTGACGTAACATATTTTATTTTAATTTATTTTATTAGTTTTTTTTTTTTTACTGTCACATATGCAAGTATTTCAAATTTAAAAAGGTTTGTAGATCAGATTTTCAGCATCTTTTGACAAAGTTTTTAGTTTTTTTTCTTTTATATAATAATTTTAATTATTATTATTATTATTATTATTATTATTATTATTATTATTATTATTATTATTATTATTATTATTATTATAATAAAGTTCAGAGGATATACTGAAAATAATATTGAATTATTACAAATATCATATGATGATAATATAATAATAAGACTAACTTTTAATAGTGATCGAGAGAGTATTCCACGGATAAACACACTCAAGAGAGCCATTATTGTATGATTAAAATAGAAAAGATCTTATTGTTGAGCTATATGTGGAGTGAATATAATCAAGAGATAATTATTTTGAGTACGTAGAGTTTATATTTTATAATGCGCTTTAGAAATAGGGTGTGTTATTATCTTGGAGAGTAAACTTCAAGATGGGCAAGTCGGTCAAGTTGGTTAGACAACTTGTTTTGGTAACTACAAAATTTCAAATTCGACTCTTTGTGAGAACTGAAATGTCTATTAGTCTTCTTGATTTGAACTAATTAGCAATGACACTCTTGACGTACTAACACAAATTACGAAATTAAGGATTTACCTTTTGAGTCATACCTTAGCTTGATCTCATTAACTTATATATTTTATTTTATTTATAAAAAAAAATTGAGTTGTAATTATTTAAATAAGTGATATTTAATATGTGATTTAGAAATATTAAATTTTCATTTTTAAAAATTAAGCTTTAAATAGTGAAGTTTAAGTTGAAATAAATACGAAAACGATGAAACGAGATGAGTTGATGCTTTAGAATGCGATGGTTGGCTACCTGTGGGGGACGACAATTATATTATTGAGACTATAATTGAAAACTGCAGAGATTGACGATTGAAAAAGAAAGAAAAAATCTTAGGAAAGTGCTACTTGGCTTATCAACCTGGTCATCCTATCCTATTAAGTATTAATTAATGGCCGACTAACTTCGACGAAAATATATCTATCATTTTTATCACTTAATTATAATTATAAACTTGCCATTTTTTAATACTTTTTTTTTTAATGAATGTATAATAACGATGTTGGCTGACGTATGGGAATAATGAAATTATCTTTTTTTTTTTTCATGTTATTATAAGTCTTCTTTTTCATTTAATCAAAAAAGAAGAGGGCAAAGAAATGTGTCTTTTTTTTTTTTTTCTTTTTCTTTTTGTTAATTTTTTTTTTTATTTCCTATTATGGTTTATGTGTGTTTCTTTGAGGGTTTTGCCTATGTCCTCTTTAGCCTTTGTTTACTTCTTTGTGATTGCAGTTAAGTGTTTAAAAAATTATAATTATTTTTAAATTTATCTATTAATTTGATTAAATTTAATCATTTAATTTTTTAGACTGAATAAATCTTATTTGAACTATATAGAATATCCTTACAAAAGGGTAAAATCCGATAAAATGTCTAAAAACGAGAGCATTTCAAATAGTTTGCATTAAAATTGATTAATTTAAAATGTTAATAGATTAACTTGAAAAAAAAATTATAAACAAATAGTAATAACAAAAATATTATGATAGTCGAAAAACTAAAAGTTAAATTAATTCATTTTATTGCAATTTGGTAACATATGAAACGAGTTTATCCATTGATGGGCCGTCAAGCAGGACTCAAAATTGAGCAGCTGCAATCAAACAAATGGGTTTCAATCACTTTTATAAAGTGATTAGTGAATTGTTAAGCTCTACTTTTAACTATTTTTTGTTGGAATTGTTGTCATTTTGGATTTCCAATATTTTTAACTTTTGGAATATTATACACCGCTGCATAGCAATCGTTATATCGTGGATCATGCTTCATTATCAGCATTATGAACCGTGGTCCAAAGTATGTACATTTAGTTAACAGATCATGTATATTCAAATACAATTAAATGTATATAATATGTTAACTGAAAATACATAATATGTTAATTAACTGTATATACATAATTTGGATTAGATCTACAATGCACATGACGGATCTGATCTTGATCCACGATATAACTTGTGATATTGCTTAGGTGAATATTATTGATAGTGCAAATTGACTTGAGTCAACATACATAGTAAGAGTGAATAGTAGGAAGAGAGTAACGAGACAAGACATTTTACATGTAAACTTGAAATGGAAAAAGTTGCAAGCCTTTTTAGGCTGGGCTAGGTCGAAATCCACTATAATTGGTTAATAATACATATTTAGTGTTATTGAAACATAAAACAAATATAAGGTGGAAACTAATGTGGTTGGGAAACTAACTAAAAGTTCGACCCTATAAGGTCAGGAAAAATGGAAAATCCAGTTGAAGTGGTGTAAGTTAGGAAAAAAGCCTCCTCGTTCACACTAGGCATAATGCCTTATTTAATTATACTAAGTAGCAAGGGAACATAATGGTGGTAAATATTGACATAGGTGATGTGGCATCCAATGATCGGGATGCCTTCAGACGCAGAGGTAGGACCGGAAATTCTAATAGGGAGGTCGGGAAGTTTTCTAACAGGGAGGTTGGGAAGTTTTCTGACACAGAGGTAGGGAAGTCTTTTGACACGGAGGTCGGGAAGTCGAGGTTGGTAAGTAGACATACTGGTAGGCATGGCCACGGTTCCGAGTCAGAACAACCGGTTCCGATTCCGGAAATGGACAAGTTGGAACCTAAACCTTAATATAAGGTTCCGGTTTCGGTTGCGGATTTTTTCTAAAAAAATAAATTATATGTTATGTTGTTTGTCTGCACGGTGGTGCTTGGAAGTATATATGTAGGGCAGGGGGTAGTACGTATAAACTTTATAAAGTGGATGGACATACATATCAACATACTGTTTATGACAAGAAATCAAGAAGAAGCACTACAGGCTGGTTTTGTTCCAGTGCTGCTGCCTCATTATGGATTTTTTCTTTTCTTTGTTTTGTTTTTTTTTTCATTTTAATTTTTGTGTGTTGCCCAACAAAAATAATGCTTACACTCTGGCCTGGGTCTGATAACATTTTCATGCATCTATCTTTTGGTACATATGAGGAGTCAGGGATAAATTAAATATGTAACTTTTTGTTTATTTAAAATTATCAATTTATACCACTTTATTATTTACTTAATTTATCGATCTCTATTACTACATCTATATTTATGGAGACTTATTGTTTTAAAGCTGCTTTTTTGTTTTCTAAAATGAAAGACAAATTATAT